CTGCAGATGGTGACAGCAGCCACGAAATTAAAAGACACCTGCCTCTTGGGAGGAAAGCAATGACAAACCTAGACAGGATCTTAAAAAGCAGAGACCTCACCTTGCCAACAAAGATCCACATAGTTAAAGCTATGGTCTTTCCAGTAGTGATGTATGGAAGTGAGAGCTGGACCATAAAGAAGGCAGACTGCCGAAGAATTGATGCTTTTGAATTGTGGTGCTGGAGGGGAATTTTAAGAGTCCCTTGGACTGCAAGGAAATCAAACCTATTCTTTTTGAAGGAAATCAACCCTGAGTGCTCACTGGAAGGACAGTTCGTGAAGCTGAGGCTCCAATACTTTGGCCATCTCATGAGAAGAGAAGACTCCCTGGAAAAGACACTGATGTTGGGAAAGAGTGAAAGCAGGAGGAGAAGGGGATGACAGAGGATATTTTAAGAGTCCCTTGGACTGCAAGGAAATCAAACCTATTCTTTTTGAAGGAAATCAACCCTGAGTGCTCACTGGAAGGACAGTTCGTGAAGCTGAGGCTCCAATACTTTGGCCATCTCATGAGAAGAGAAGACTCCCTGGAAAAGACACTGATGTTGGGAAAGAGTGAAAGCAGGAGGAGAAGGGGATGACAGAGGATGAGATGGTTGGACAGTGTCATCGAAGCTACCAACATGAATTGGACCCAACTCTGGGAGGCAGTGGAAGACAGGAGGGCCTGGCGTGCTCTGGTCCATGGGGTCATGAAGAGTGAGACAAACCTTAACAACTAAACAACAACAAAAATGAAGGGCTCAGGTCCCCCTGCCCCATCAGAAGTCCCACAGTTCGGGGAACTTCACCTTCCATTGGAAAGAGGGACTTTTTTTTATCTAACTCACTGTGTTATGTAAGCAGGAAGACAAAGGTGAAAACCACTCACCTCAGTGTTGGGTAGAGAGGAGAAGATAGGGAACACATGACAAAATGGAGCAGGAGAAGGAGAATGGCTCTGTCCAACATTCTTCACTCTGCAAAAAAAACGGGGAGGGAACTAGGACTCATTACAGTTTCAAAGACAACCATGCATACAGCACTGGAGACTCAACTACCATCAAAATGGTGGTTTCATTGTTCCCAAAGCTCTGCTGATATGTGAGCCCTGCCTGTACACAACAATTCGGACAGGAGGTTAGAAAATTGAATTTTTTGACTACAGCTCCTAGAATTCCATGTTGACTGGAGATTTGCAAAAGCTGTAATCAATCAATCATCATCATCATCTTCACCACTCTCTTGATGGGGCCGATAGGAACGTTGCTGAGTCCTGTTTTGCTTTCCAAACTAACATGGGGATAATAAAAAGAAAACAATCGTAATCCTGTTATGGTATCCATTTTACCCAAGACTTGAGTAAGACTTCCCAGTGGAGGCTTGTTTCATAAATAAATAAATAAATAAATATGAGAGAGATCAGCAACAAACTCTTGCAGTGTGGAGTGCTGCAGTTCAAAATTTGGGGTACCCACTGCACTCCTTTCCCCCTCTCTTATCCACGGTTTCTTTATGGTCATTGAGCATGCTGAGAGCTTGTTTAGGCTGATTTGAGGGCTCTCTCGCACTCATACCTCAGAGGGGTTTCCTAATGATTTTTTTAAAGTGTATTTCTGCAATGCTTGCATTCTCTCAAGTCTGCTGAACTTCCTTCTTATGTGCAGGTGGTGCAATTTTGGCCACATAAGAAACAATACTCACAGCCTAAACACCAGGAAGAGAAAGAATAGGTTCCATAAAAATGAACACAAATCTCTTGACTTGTTCCTAAATGTGGCTCAAAAGCTGCAGGCAACCCTCTCCTCAGGTAAGATCCGTGCCTGCTGTTTTTGATCTGCCATCATTTAAACTTAACTAGCTATTGATAAAAGCAAGGACAAGAAAGGGCTGAAGATTCCATTTCACTTTGCTTTAAATCTACTATCCCAAGACCCTTGAGGAGTTCTAATGCTTCTGATTAAGTGGTTCACAGAATGTGACCTTATTAAATAATACCATTCTGGGATCTCATTTTATAAGATTGCTCCAAAAATATCCAGGGACATTAACACCTGGATTTTCAGGATTGCATGGCTGAAGTCTTAATGCACCACTGTCTCTTTCCAGCCTTATGACTCTTTGTTTAAGGACTATGATCAGGTGAAACATCCTGTGAGTACCTATAGAGCACCTACAGTACTTGTTTTGCACTGGTGCAGGTAAGATGGTTCGGGATCAAACCCCTTGAAAATGGTTCCAACTGAGCTTTCTAAAGAGCAAGATAGCTGTAACAAGATAATAATAATCTCACTTTCTTAACTGATCCAAGCAGCCTCAGTTTCCTAACTGATCCAAGCAGCCTGATATAGCAGAATACTGTATTTCAAAAGGGGTGGAGGGATACACAGTATTGCATTTTCTTCCTGTAGGGTGAACTGGGCTGACAGCCAAGCAGGGTGTTAACTGCAAATCAGAAACTGAAGACATTGCTCTTCTGTTCCTCCTGGCTTTGGGACCGTGGTTGTGAGCTCGCAGAGAGGACTTTAAAAGGGGGAAATTCTCTTTTGAAAGAGATTTAATCCCCAAAGGCTATTTCATTTCTTTGGGTCGAGAGCCCTTCAGGAAATAGTATAAGCACTGGTGTAATACAATTGCAGAGATAATGATCAGATAAACAGCTGGAGACAAACAAGTGGGTACATTTTTATTAATATTTTATAGATTTGGTTAAATCTGTCTGGAGAACAGCACAATGGGGTTAGGATTAACAACAGATCCTATAGCTGTGTCATTTCTGAAATATAGGGTTGTGCTGCCCTACACATGTATACTCAAAACGACTGCTCCCCAGATTCAATGGCACTTCCAACTGGGTGCGCAGAAGACTACAGATGAAGACTTTAATCAAAGCATATTTATTGGAAAGTCAGTCTACTTGAAAGCAACCATAGTGCTTGCTTCTGAGTTTATCTGGGCTACAATTTGGTTGTTATAATGGCAATGCCACAATGCTCCATACCCAAAACAGCTGCCTAAGATAGGATAATAAATTCCACAAGAATAGCTATGTTAGTAAAACTAAACAAAAAGCAGATGGCACAGAACTTGTCTGGCTTTATCTACATTTCACAAACATTTGCAGCCTGACAAGAATTAAAAACAAGCTCATATTTCACTTTGTGCTTTTATCTCTTTAATCAACCAGACAGCTATGCAATTTCATTTGTTTTTGGCCATAAGCAAAATTTTTAACTAACATAGTAGTTTAAATACCCACTCACTTTCAGGGGATGACAAACTATAAATGAAATGTGAACAACATAATTATTATTATTGCTTCACTTTAAAAGGGGGTGGAGAACGCTTGAAGTTCATATTAGGTATCTGGGCTGGAATGGTCCTGATTATTTTTACACATCCACTAAAATATTATCTTAAATTATATGTTGGGTATACACAGTCAAATCTAAATAAGAATTCTTAATTTACAGCCCAATCCTATGTGTGGTTCCTTTAAAATATATTCTACTGAATTCTGTCTGACTTATTCCTAAAAGTATATACATTGCCATTGTAATAAATATACAAAAGTTTTTTGCAGATGTAGAAAACAAGCTGATTGTTTCACTTTTCCACCATCAAGCAGCTTTGCAGTAGAAACAAAAATAAAAATTCATGCCTCATCCTTCACACTTACCTTCAGGAACAATATCCTCTGAAGTCTGCAAACTCTTTCTTTACCTTCTTTCAGTTCTGCCTTTTGCCGTGTCCTAGGAATTGGAGAGAACTCTACCCAGCTTTTTCTAACCAGAGTGGCTGGTCTCCTGTGGTTGTTGGTATTGACACCTCCTCTTTTATACCTTCGCTCCCTCATCAAACCTGCAAGCTTCTGAACGTCAGAGGATCAATTACTTTCCAGTTATTCAAAAAGCATCCTCAGCTTTGCAAATAAGGGGGTAGGGGGAGAGAGAGGGAGACTGCTGATTTTGATTCTTTGACATGTCCATCATTGCCCTAATCATTGGGGAGAACAAAGACCAAATTTGTTTTGATAGATAAACCTTGCATTTCTTTATGCATTCCTTTGCATTTAACATGACAGTGCATATATGACTGCTGGACAGCTCAGTGGTTTAGGTAAGAGCCAGAGGATGGGAGTTTGATCCCCTACTGTGCCTCCTATGGACTTGATGATCCATAAGGTTCCTTCCAGTTCTTTAATTAATATCATTCATTACCTCCTGCCTCTTCTGTGAAAAGGTTTATCTTTGAAGTATATTCTGTTCTTTCCAGCTATCAGTCTGGGATTCTTCCCTTGTTTCATTTCAATCTGGCCTTTCATCCTACAAGCTCAGGCCATGTTATAGGTCTTCCCTCCCCATTTTATCATAACAACACCCTTGTAAGGTAGATCAGGGTAAGAGTGACTTGCCCAACGTCATGTTAACTGAGCAATGCAGCAGGCTAATAGTGCATTACAAGCATGCTTCTCATAATCCCACCCCGGTTTTGACATCATCTCACCATGGGCATGCCTAGTGACAAACTGTGTGCTAAGTTGGTCATATTGAGATTTTTGCTGTACACAATGACCTCTGGAACAATAAATTTCCCACATAAAACAGTAAGAGTCAAAGAAAGTGTGCATCTTTTTTTTTAGTTTTTTAGATTTCTGTCATTTATTATACAGTAGTGCCTCGCTTAACGATTGCCTCATTAAACGACAAAACCGCTATACGATGACTGTTTTGTGATCGCTTTTGCAATTGCAAAATGATGTTTTAATAGGCAAAATTTTCTTCCCGACAATCGGTTCCCTGCTTCAGGAACCGATTTTTCGCTAGACGATGTTTTTAAAAGAGCTGATTGGCGGTTTCAAAATGGCTGCCCGCTGTGTAAAATGGCTCCCTGCTGTGTTTTTGGATGGATTCCTCACTTTACAGGCACCGAAAATAGCCACCCCTATGGAGGATCTTTGCTGGACCCTGAGTTTTCAGCCCATTGGAACGCATTGAACGGGTTTTCAATGTGTTTCAATGGGATTTTTTTATTTCGCTTAACGAGGATTTCACTCTACAGCGATTTCGCTGGAACGGATTATCCTTGTTAAGCGAGGCACCACTGCATTTGCTTTTAACCTGAACAGCTAGCCACCTAATTTCAGGCAGCCCAAACCAAGTGTTTTAACAAGTTGTTATGCAACTCAAAAGCTAATTTGTGCTAAGTGATAGGAGTACATGAGATTGTTCATACTAATATCTTGAATATATTTCTGAATTAGAAACATTGGTATGTGTATACCAGAAAGGAGCACATGTTGATCCTCCAGATATCTGGACTTCCAACTCCCATCATCATCATCTCAGAACTACAGAACTGGAAGGGACTCTATGGAGCATCAAATACAGCCCCTATCAAAGAGACAAAGTGGGGAATCAAACTGATGTTACCGGCCAAATCTGGGTTCTAAAATTCTCTGGCAAGAAATCACGCATAGACGCAAACAGCTGAACCAAAGGCCCAATTTTATTTGAATAGCAGCAAAGAAAAGGTCAGCTGGGACTTCTCTTAAAAGCAGAGAAGATCCCGAAAATACAGTGTACATATGTTTTATAATGATACAGACAAAAAGTCATAAAAGTACTACAATTCTATTAGTCATTTGTACCCCAACTTTGGATCCAGTCCCTCACTGGGTAGTGACGCCAATTACACTGATCTATTGGTTCCCTATAGATATGCAGATCGTGTGCTCATGTGTTCTTTGCTTATGCTCAGGAAGCGTCTAAATGTCTGGGGAAAGAATCTTATCTTTTGGTATGTCTATGTGTAGGCTTTCCTGCGCCCTGATATATGGCCTTCACTCTCCGGCTCCCGTGCTGCTGATGTTCCGACTATTATCGCCTGGTTCCTCCTTGGCCACATTCCTTAGCTGGCCGTCTGCTAGATCAAAGGTGATGGGGTGCAGGGAAGAGTAACTGAAGGAAAATCCTATACTATCTGTGAATGTTTCTCTGCTAAGGGTTATACTAAAATCTAGTTTGATTCTGCTCCAGTATCAGTACCAATCCCTGGCTCTGCAGCCAAATACCTAAACTACAGCTATTCAGCAGTTCTGCTTCATCCCTGGCTATGCTAGCTAAGGCTGATGGAAAACTGCAGTCCAACAGTGATCTATACTAATCACTAACACTGATCAAAACCAGTGCATTGCTTACTATTCTCAAAAGGTTTATTTAATCAACATCTAGCTACAACTTACAACATTCACATTTTATCCCTCTGCCTACTACAGGCTGCCAATCTCAGTGGTGTGAAATTAGAAAAATCTTTCATCATTTGCTACGATGTTTATTTCTCAGGATGTGCAGGTCTATATGGCCACTGTCTGTTTTCATTGGTGATCTCACAGAACACAGCCTGAAAATTCTAATGATCAAAGTTTACACGACTGTAGTTTATGAATTTTAAGATACAATACTTGCAGCAATCACACGACATCATCGCTGGAATGAACCATCTCCAAAGCATTACTACTCACACCATTCTGGACACCTGTCAAGACCTTCTACTTTTTGGTGCATGGAGGATTGCTCCATATTAGCTTGTTTGTATAACATGTATTTACTAGAAATGAAGGAAAGTGAGCTTCCAAGAGCCTCATGGCGCAGTGGTTAAAATGCTGTACTGCAGCTAAAACTGTGCTCACGACCTGGGGTTCAAATCCCAGGTAGCCGGCTCAAGGTTGACTCAGCCTTCCATCCTTCCAAGGTCGGTAAAATGAGTACCCAGCTCGCTGGGGGGGCAATGTGTAGCCTGTATAATGAAATTGTAAACCACCCGGAGAGTGCTTGTAGCACTATGGGGCGGTATATAAGTCCAATAAATAAATAAATAAATAAATATTGGGGTTTTCAAGGCTCCTTCCACAAAGGAAGTGTTTAATTTGCCAATTTTCTAAAGTGACTCTTCATAAACCACTTCACAATAAGGGAAATTCACAGCAGAAGGAATCAGACCAAATAGGGTCACTTGAAGTCCAATATGCCATCTGGATGTGATGATTGCACCAAATGGCCTACCAGACCTCTAAATGACCCCAGGCAACCCTATTTAGTCGGCACTAGCCCACTCCAGAAGATCCCATGTAGACACACGCCTAGAGACAGAGAAAATACCTAATGTCCCTGACTCATTTATCTTACCTGCCCCCCCCCATAGACAGCAGGACCTTCCACACTACCAAAAAGAATGGGCACTAGTTGTCACTACTACTGTAACAAACACTTCCATATTATGCCAAACACGTTCTATGACAGGTACGAAGGAAGCACTTTGATGGTGGCCTATGGGGCAATTTAGCTCATGAGCCAGAGGAGTTCATCCTTGAAATGTGCCAGCTACCCACAGCTCAAATAAAGCTTTCTCTGACAGCAACAAACCTTGCTTCTCCACTTCATCTTACATTTCTGGAGATCTGAATCCACATCACTGGATGCTTTTTCACAATCAGCTGGAGGGAAAATTAATATTAGGGCTCCATGCAGCCATGCTTCAAGGAGTGCTGTATTTCCCATTACAACAATCTACAAATTTATATCCTTAGACCAAGACAAAAGAAGCAACACATTTGCTAATAGTAACTAAGTCCCTTTTCAGACAATGGAGTTTATTCCCTAGAAATTACAATTAGAATTGCAGCTTTCAAACAGGACCTCTTTAAAACTGTTCTCAGCTGCTTCTCCTGGCCCCTGGCACTATTAAAATGGTCCCTTTAATTAACCAAATACTTTCTGAACTGATTTGGTCCTTTTAATCATGTTCTCCTTTCTCCCATCTATAGCTACAGAAATTCCACTGTTTGCCTTTTTTTAATGACTTTATCAGAGGACTGATAAAAGTGTGTGTATGAAATGCAAATTAAAAGCTCATCATTCCTAATCTGTCTTTCCTTGGGGACAGTGATGTGAAGCAGCATTAAAGAGGTAAGACATTTTGTTTTAAAATATCTTATTTTTTTAAAAAAAATCCCAGTACTGTATTTGGATTGCCATTTTCATGGGATTTACGAAACAAACTTCTAGTCTTAAAGCAAATTCCTACTAGCAGTAGTATTAAAGAGGGGCTTTCTGCAAGTTGATTTAAACGTTTATTAGGGAAAAGGAAATGCAGGACTAACTATCTAATAATTTCCCCATCAATTATGTAAATGGCATTCTGCCAGTCCATCGTGGACAGGCAAGCTGTTGCTACACTTCTACCCCAAGTCAGAAAAAAAGCAGCAGGATTTAAGAAGAAAGAAATGTGGGATAACACATACATATTGAAATGTCATGAGTTGTCAGTGATATTGTCTAGATCACAGCCTGGAAATATTGCCTTTAGATTAGAACTACCAGAATCTCCTATCTACCCAATAACATTATTTATGGCTGGGGAAATTCTGGAGTTGTGATTCAAATCAGTATTGGCATAGATTCTCCAAAATATATGAATGTATTTCCAATTTAGAAGAAAATGGCCACAGTACGAGTTACCTGGAGTAACTTGACCCAGGCAGTCATGTTCAAGTCTCTTACAAATTACATTTGATTCCTTCATAGATATTACTACATGGTTGTTTTGATAGACCACTGGTACCCAAATTGGGAGATGTGCCCCCCCAAGGATATATGAAGAATTCCAAGGAGTGTGATTCCCAGATTTTTATAAAGAATTTTTAATCACCTTACACAAATTTAGAATGTTGCATTTCTCAAGAAAAACTCCAAAATCAACAAACAGACAAGATTTAAAATCACCTAAGAAAGTTT